CTCGACCGCGTGGTCCGCGAGCCCGTGCACCGCGAATCCCCCGATCATGGCAGACCACACAAACCTGTTACGGTGCTGTATCGATTCGAACACTTCGGTCGCCCTCTCGATAGAACCGCATTTGGCGTACATGTTGATAAGAGCCGAAGCGACATAAGAATCTTCAAGCATATCATCGGACAGGAGATGCTCGTGCACCCAGGCGCCACGGCCCAGCGCGCCGGCGTGAGAGCAGGCCGTGAGCGCAGTAGCGACGGTATGCGCGTCCGGCTCGATCCCCGCATAGGGAAATCAGCACTGCCTGTCTTATAAAGTAGGAGAGAGACTGTGTGTATATATATTAGATTAATGGGTATCCTTGTCAAGGAGGGGATTTCCCTCATTGACGCTTATGTGGCACAATCTCGACAATCCTCATGAAGTAGGAGAGAGTGTGTGAGTTGGTGGGGATGTATCTATTTTTCTGGAGTCGTTGAGAACTGGTGGAGGCTGGTGGATGAGGAATTATAAAGTGTTAAGGATTTGATCTCAATTGGAAATTTAGAAATGGTGTCCTTTAGAAATAAAAGGAAGGGAGGGAGGGAGGGAGAGTTTTGTATTACTTTTGCGTTTTGAAGTTTCGGTTCCGTGTAGTGGTGAGCTTGGGATTTAATATTTAGGCCCATGTGACTTCCTTGTTCGAAATTTAAATGGGCTATACTTGTTTTTTAGTTCTTTTAGATAGATAGGGTCGTTGGGGGTGCAGTTTTTAATTTTTGATTTTTGCACTAGTGCTTAGATAATAACAAAGATACTAGGGGGTGCAAGGAGATGCATAATCCACCCCTGAAGCCGCATCTGTATAAAACTCATTCTCAGAATCATGACCATATTTGTAGACTTCGGATAAACTCTCCATAGATTCAATTCATATTTTATTTTGGAATAATGATTATACATAATTGATTTGTCATATAGAGTGTGTGTTGATTACAAATTGAGTGTAATATTGAGCATGTAATAATATGATGGAGCTCATGGTCAATACTCGGGCGCGATTGTTTTTTGCCGCGGTATCTTATCATACCCAACATTTTGTATTTGTATGCGTGCAACTTAGCAATAGCTTTCAGTGAACCTGTGTTTCTCCATGTTCGCCCTTTTATTCTAAACTTGGTTTTGGTTTTTAGTCCAATAATACGAAAAGCCCTCCGTTGAGAGTTGTTTTTAATGTATATTTAGTCTCACATTGGTTAGGGACAAATCTCTTTGTATTTATGATATTATAAATAACATTCAAAGAGGAAACTAAGCATCCTCACATTGGTTAGGGATAAATCTCTTTGTATTTATGATATTATAAATAACATTCAGAGAGGAAACTAAGCATCGTCTATGGTTACTATTAAATAACATCTAAGAGAGGGGACTAAGCATCATCTATGATTACTATTCTCAACATGGTATAGGATCAGCCATCCACCTAATCTTCATCAAGTCCCAACCATCCATCCACACAGGGGTGTTCATTCGGGCCCAAGGCCCGGACCCGGTTGCCTGAACCCGGCTCTAGCCCCTCTCTCTCTCTCTCTCTCTTAGCATGGTATAGATACTAAGATATAAGTATATAAATAAACATATATATAATTAGATAAGTATAATTATATATAAGTATATTGCATTTAGTATATATAAAAATATATCATATAAGTAAAGTATATAACTGTACTTAAATAAACATAATGTAAATATGTAACAAATACATATATACCTATATAATATGTATTTATAAATAAGTAATATATACTTATGTGATTCTCTCTCAAGTTATAACTTATAAGTATATACAATATATTTACATATAATATATGTATATATAATATATAGGTATATAGTAATACTAGTGTGCGCCCCGTGCGAAGCACGACCTTCCCTTTTTTTATCGCTACGGTAATCCGGTTTTTAATTGCTACAATATTTTTAAAATACTACAGTACTTTCTTAAATGCTACAGTTGTTTGGGTCGTAAATTGCTTTGTTCATTGTATTACTCATTACAACTTTAGTCGTTACAATAAGTCCGAAAAAAAACGATCTTTATATAAGACCTTACACAATAAAAAAATAAAGAAAATTACAATCTCCTTCAAACAACACACAGCAGAGAACGTTTATCGCCTATTACCGTTTGCGTGGGATCTTTACCTGTGCCCGGGTTTATCTGTGGACCGCCTACGGACCGGATCCGGTTGACAGAATAATTGATCAGAGCTCCTACTTCATCAAGGAAGTATTCGCTGAAGTACTAATATCGACCAAGAGAAATCAGTACTCTTCTCAAGATTAAGATCAAGCCTAATCTCAAGGAAATGGGGTACGAGGCTTCGGATCCTTTGAAATACTCATTTTTATGCCAAAATTTGCCGAGATCTAGCTAGCCTCCTCTAAAATTCCGTGCTTCTTGACTCTTCAATCCAGCAACACCTCCTCCTCTTGATAATAATTTGCTCCTTGTGAAAGACGGCTCGGATGCGGTTATTTGGATAAGAATAAAGGATTTAGCCATATCTTCAGTTGACAACAGCCTAATCATGTTCTTATAAAAATCTGCGGAAGCTTTACACTTGAATACTAGAGGGTGAGTTTGCAAAGTAGATTATAAATTGCAAAGAAAGAATGACAATCTCAGAAAATGAACATCACAAACACAAGCATGTATACTGGTTCCACCTCCCTGGTGTACATCCAGTCCCCAAGCAAATTCCGCTTGAGAGTTTCCACTATGATTTTAAAATCTTACAAAATCAAAAGCAAACCTGACCAATTTGTAAGACCATGCAAATTACAAAACCAATTGACAAGACCATGCCAATTGCCACCCAATCTCTAAACCAAGAGATCAACCCTCTCAAACCCGAGAGAAATCCTTTTTGAAGCAAGAACACAATTGATCCTATAAGCCTTGAATGTGTAGTGAAGTACAACAGTGGCTTAGGATTCTTTTAACTCTCTGAATATTGCCTATACAATCTCTAAGAATGATTGAAACCAAAGCAATATCAGAAACTCTCTTTTTCTACACTTAGCATGAAAATCTGGAAAACTAGAGAGTGAATATGCACAAATGTTTGATCTTATGTGTATAAATTAGTTGTGCAAATTTCTGAACTTAGAACCTATTTATAGCCCTTGAAAAGACAAGTTTTTAACCCCTAAAAACATACACAAAACGGCTATAAACAGTCACTTATTCAAAACCTAAAATCTGGAAAAACTGCATCTGTAGTTGACTACAAGTCATAGTAGTCGACTACACTGAGTCTAAACAGACTCTGTAAAGTCAGAAAATTGCTTAGTAGTGGACTATAAGGCATAGTAGTCAACTACACTGTAAACTCACATATTCTGAAATTTTCTTTTTAGTATTTTGACTATAACTTTCTCATCCGATATCGGAATGAGGTGATTTAAGATTTGTTGGAAAGCTCTTGAAGAGACCTAAAACTTTGATCTTTTGAGTTTTTCCAGATTCTAATTGATAAAGGGAATAAATAAAATTTTTTAAGACTCACTTAATATCTATAAACTCTAATGGCTAACATAGGGGATTTCTATTGTTAACCAACACACTAAGCATGTGTTAGTGTGTTCTAACACTATGTGTACACATGAGTGTGAGTGATCAAGACTTGTACAAATTTCTAAACAAAGAAAATATAAAATTATATTTTGACAATAAAGTATATCTTCTTCTTTGCTTCATTTTGCCTTGAACTCATCTATGTCTTGAGTATCTCTTTGAATATAATTATTGATATAGCTCTGATACTGTAAAAAAAATGTTAGCACATAATACACACAACATGTATTATTTGTTATCATCAAAATAAACTAATATTGGGGTCAAGATTCCTAACATTCTCCCTCTTTTTGATGATGATAAATATATGTTATTAAGATATAAAAATTTTAATCCCCCTGCATAAAATCATTAAATAAAATCTTTTACTCCTCTGCATCAAAGCATTAGAAAAAAATTTTAAATTTTCTATATAACTCCCCCTTTGTCATTAACAAAAAGAAATAAACATAATTCTAGTTAAATTTTTTTTTCCCGGGTACCTTAATAAAAATATTAAGCACTTTGGTATCCTTTTATATTATATCATTAGGATTAGCCCTTAGGAATCCAAATCCACTTGGAATTTGGTTTCCATTTATTAACATAAGTGTAATTCTTTGAATTGCAAACTTCATACATATAAGATGAAATATAATCATTCCTATCATGAATATTCAAATTCTTAGGAATCCATATATACTTATTTTGTTTAGCATGAATATTCTTATTATTATTCTTCAAAACATAATCATTCTTTATAAAATACTTAGGAACAAATCCAATGCCAAAATGATTGTTTGAAGATTTTTGAAATGAGAGCAAATTATTCAAATTCTCTTTACTTTTATTGAATTTACTAACATTCAAACATATATCATCATATTTTAATTTAATAGAAGAAATATCTTTATCTAAAACATTAATGCGAATTTTTAAATCATTGCATTCTGATTTTAGATAAACATTCTCATTAGTCAAAATATGATTTTCTTTAAGCAAGGATTTATTTTCCTCTTTCAATTCAATTACTTGAGAATAAGAAATAGTAGAAGAATTAAAATTAGAAATTTCTTCAAGTAATCTTTTATTTTCACCTTTAAGAAAATTATGTGAAGCCTTTAATCTCAAAAATGTTTCATATAATTCATTGAAAGCATCTAAAAGCTCTTCATTGTCACTTACTTCATCTTGTGTCATAAAACACATATGAGCGCTTTCCTTTTCTTCGATTTCTTCATCCGAAGACGAATCATCACTATTATCCCATGTAGCCATCAAAACCTTCCTTTTCTTGTTGAATTTTGTAGACTTTGACATTGATTTTAGAAGGTGACAATCATTCTTCATATGTCCTGGCTTATTGCAACCATAAATAATGAAATTATTATTAGTATCTTTAACATTACTTGTACATTCATAAGTTACCTCGACTGTGTACCAAATATCATATGCGGATGTGGGCGTTGACACCCTATTGAACTCATTCTTATCAAGAACACAAAATAAGACATTCATTGCTTTAGAATCCAAGTTTGCATTGTTCCTTTGAAATGTAGTCCATTCCGTGAAAGTAGTGCTTGGTTTCTCATATTTTGTTTCCACAATGCTCAAAAGTTCATAACCAATTGATTGAAGGTAAATCTTCAGTCGATACTTCCAATAGTTATAGTTCAATCTATCGAAC